ATTTTATGGTTAAAGAAATAAGTTGTGAAATCGTACCCATTAAATATTTTAGTAAGTGGTAAGTGATGATTTATAGTTGGGTAGTGAAGTTTTTAGACATGAACCTAAGTTATAGTCATATATAAATTTAGGAGTCATCGTGAACTACCAAAGAAGGTAATAACTTTTCCTGAGTCCTAAGAGAGCCGAATGGTCCATGGTCAAAGTAAAAAAATCAAACAAGTTAATAAAGAATTAGATAAGGGTGGACTAGAGTGATCAGTAAAATTTCCATGCGTCAATATACGGAACTTTCCGTATACTTGTCACCCACGAATTACTTCCTATAAATAGAGAAAAATGGCATCATGTTTAAGGCAACGGAAATAGAAAGAAGAAAAAGAACAGCACGGGTGAGGATCTTGAGTGGTGGAAATAAAGAAATTAATTTAAGGTGAGTTATATTATACCTTGAGTTACCAAAATATATTTTACTTATGTTTTGACTTATCATATTTATTTTATATAAGTTATGTTTTATTAGTATATTAATAAAAGTTATGTTTTATAAAGACTTCAGTTATGTGGATTATTATCTGAACCCTATTTGTGAAAATGAAACCCATGGATATGTTTGTTTTACTTTTAAAGAATATTTGGCTATGACCTTATATACAATTATGTTTCGTAAGTACCACTACGGGAGCCCACGCCTTGGGAGACTTAAATAACCATTGGCCCCTGTTTGACCACTTTGTGGTCCCCTGTTTGTCATGGATCCATTGACCCCTGTAGTGATTGTCACTTAGTGACCCATGTTCTGTTCTATTATGTACCGTGGTTATAGTTAATTATTTCAGTTTCTGGCACTTAATTAATTTGTGTATTCAACTCAAATTATGTTAATGTTTTAATGTTTTAGCTTAAATAAATATCCATGGCTATTTTGTGTCCCTACACTCGCAGTATAATATTTCTCACTCTGCTATGTGTTTATAGCTGTTACCCCTTTTAGGTGATGAGATTTAACGGGATCAAGATAGAAAATAAATTGCTGTGTTGTTTTGTTTTTTTTAAGCTTTCTACCTTTTTATTATCAGACTCTTGTAATATAATGAAGTTCAAATGACTATGTTTTGTTTCCTTTTAAATAAACAGTTGGTACCCAGTTATTTTATTTTAATTTATTCTCCGCTTGCGCTGCGACTACAAAATTATTTGAATTATTCCATTTTTATCTTGTTACGACGCCGAACCTTTGGGTAATGGGTTTGAGTCGTGACATAGCGGGTAGCACACGCTATGCATGTGCAATTAAGATAACTAAGAATAAAAATAAATAATAAAGAAATTAATATCATAATATGTTAATTACTTAAATGGTAAGTGTGATTTTAATGAAACTCAAGATTTTTGAGTTCAAACCTTGCTTTTAGACATCAAATTCAGTGCTCACATATATAACAATATAAATAGATAGAAGAGCAAAACTTTTCGAATTCACAAAGACAACTTTATGCCAAAAAAGTGGCTCAAAATTGACCGAGTGGAAAATCCTTTTTTTTATACTGGGCAAATTTTAGTTATTATAATACAGGAAAAAAAGCATTTTTAGCGATGATTTTGTTAGTCACCAAAAGTGTAATTTTCGTAGCAGGGTCGCCGAAGCCATGTCATTAAATGATTTGGCGACCAAATAAATTGTGGTCACCTTATAAATAAATCAGTGACCAAATATTTTAGTCACTAAACACCAAAAAATTCATTGACATAAATTAGCATTTAGTCACTAAAAGTAGCCTTAATCGAATGATATGTTAGGTTTTAGCGACATGTAAATGTATCGCCAAAGTATCTTTCAGCAACGAAGCAAATTGGTTGCTGAATGTCAAATCTTTTGCCGACCAATCAAGTTTTTGGTTAGTAAAAATTCATTTCCTATTCACCATAGACTTTTAGCAACGAAAACAAAGTGTCACCAAAAGTAAATTCTCAATTGAAAATTCTATCACCAAAAATTCATTATTTATATTTTTTTTTTACAATTTCCCCTTTCAATACATAATTCATAAAACCTATAAAAAATAATCTAAACCCAAACTTTTGTGCATCATTTCTACATATACATGCAATCAAAACAAATTAACACACTTGTGCAAAGTATCCAAAATATAAACTTAATTCAAAAGTAACAGGCATATTAAACATAACTAAAATATCAAATCCAAAGCGTCCAGCATAAGTACATATATATTTGGTTGAGTCAAAGGGGCTAGCTGATCAGTTGCTAGTTTATGCACTAGTTTTTGGATGCAGCCCTGGCATGTGACTTTTCATTTTCCCATGTCTTCTCTTTTGTTTCATCTATGCTTAGATTATGTCCAACTTCCCCATCTATGCTATAGATAAATGTACAGATGTGTCTGAAGTGTTTTTCATTTTCCAATTCTTTGAGCTAAAGTATTTTTCCTTATGTAATTAATGATGTTCCAGTACATCGCTGATTAAAAATTAAAAAAATAAAGAAAGAAGAAGTTTCAATACATTACTTTACTTAACACCAGCAGTCAGCTATGCTTACTTGGGCAAAATGTTTGAGCTGGCTGAATTGGTGAGGTTGAATTCATGGTTCCCACCACACAGGCACATACACAAAAGGATAAAGAAATATTCCAGATTTGTTAGTTCTTTTTAATTTAAAAGTATTTTTTTCCCATAATCTAATCTCGTACAATGGTAAGAAACATTTCAAAATACTAGGAATCAAGCTATTGTATATTTGGTGTCTGCTTGTTTCTTTTTAATTTTTTTGTGCATTTATTTTCTCCTAATGAAAACTGTATCTTTTTGCAGAAATTCTTGCTCATGAACTATATTGAAGACATTGATAGGTGCAAGAAAATTTTCTCCTCATATTTTACTTTGTTTGCTGATTAGTTGGATAAGAATTTTTATGGAAGAAAAATGTTTGGTGGCCTGAATTTGTGTCGCTCGAATGGCTCGAATGTGTCAAAACGACGTCATTTTACACTTAAAACGACGTCGTAGTTTTGGGTATTTCGAGCCATTTGAGCTATGAATTTTCGGGCTACCTATCATTGTTGTTTATTGAAAACAAGAAAAGAGAAGTACAGAAAATAGATCCAATACTCTAATGTGCTTTTTTTTTTTTTTTGGTCGGTGACTTCAATTCATCTCCCCCTGCTTTTCCATTGATCGCAACACATTAATAACTGAATAATTTGTTGCTAATGGAAAAATAAAAAATAAAAAAAGTAAAAAGAATTGGTGTTGATTCCTTTACAAACCTGTATAGAATAGAAGAGTTACTGCCATATTTCTTCCTACAATCACTTAGCCGATACAGATGTTAAAGTTGATTGTGAGCAAAGGGTTTACAGCTTCTGGATTATCTTTTACTTTATTTACGAGTTGGAAGTGCAAGTTTTAGAAGAAGATAACAATCGGTGGCTGCACATGAATACATGATAATATTTTGCAATTTTTTTTTAATGTTCTTTATTTAGAGAAATATAACTTCATGAATTTTTTTGTGCAAATCAGATAAGTCAAAAGCTATGGGAAACTCTGTTTTGGGGCGCTTTGGGATGAGCATCGACAACTTCAAAGCTGTTCAAGATCCAAAGACTAGTTCCTATCCAATTTCATTCCAACGCTAGCTATTATGGCTATTGGTTGTTATCTCAACACAATACATGCAGGCCGTTATTGGAAGAAACATTGTAAGTAACGTGGAAGAGGATGGTACGAATATCGGGTACTTGCATTTGCAGGGTTTAATTCTATACTAGTGTTGTTTTGGTGCTATATATAACCGTGTTTGCGCTGTTAATAGATCCAAAAATAAAATTAAATAAAATTAAGATTGTTTAGGCAAAGTGCTTGTCCATTGGTTGCAAGTGTCATAGAATGAGTTTGCAAATGTGTTCACTTGATTAGTTTTTAATGGTCCAAGTATTTTAAATTGGCTGGACAACACCACCACAAATTTTTTTTGTTTGATTTGGGAAAGCACTAGTTTTAAATTTATTGATCATCGACTGGCATAATAATATTGTTTTTGTATGGTATTGGGTTTAGAGATTGTTTGGGATAAACTAACTAAGAATACTTTTTAATTTTTTATGAAATATGAATTGGGTATAGGTTGGGTTTGCAGTGATATGATAAAAAGGTAATGTGACTGAAATAAGATAATATGACTTAAATAAAATAGTGACTTTTTAACTTTTTTTGATCATGCCAAACCAAACCTTAGTCTATAATATGCTTTTATATATCTCCTCTCCATTAAAAAAGAAAAAAGTTGTCTATGACAATAGTAAAAATGTGGACAATGGCATCTCTGAATGGATTGAAGGTTGTCATCTTTTATTTGATTTTTCAGTGCTGACTACTTTCCTTAGGGTTGCCGAAGTATAGAGATGAAAGGGTCGCTTGGTACGTGAAGCATTCTCTTACCACGTGTGGTGTGTGGGTTCGAGTCTTCTCTCTATGGTATGTATCTATATTCTTGTTGGAGTGCAGTGGAATTTGGTCTGAGCTGTAGAATTTAAGGGTAGTATATTGAGGTCGGTTTTTCTGTCGTAAAGGGGGTAATCAACTTCTTCATAGAAGTAGGAAAAGGCTGTCTGTGTAATTATATTTCTCTGTTGTAAGCTGGGGCATTATCTATTCATAAAACATCAAATTTCCTTTTTCTTTTTCTTTTTTGTTTTCCTTTTCCTTTCATAGGGAGGATGCCAATTGGGGCATTATCTATTCATAAACATCATTTTTCCTTTTCCTTTCATAGGTAGGGTGTCAATTCTTCATCTCTATTTTTTTTCGACATGAAAGTATAAGCTTGCCCGCTCCTGTTAAGTCTGACTTCAGGCCCATTGACACTAATCTATATGGAAGGCACCAACTCAGTGACACTAATCTATATGCAAGGTACCAGCTTATTACCCAAACAGCTAACCCTTATTGGCAGACCTTAGGTGGGCTTTACTCACAGATTTTGTTAATCTTCTTTTTTCCTATGATGATGCATGAGAGAGCAAGAAAGAGCTATGGGATTCATATGTACAATCACCATGTATGTGAGAGAGCAAGAAAGAGCTACTATGGGGATTCATATGTACAACCGTGTCAAGCATTGGCGGTAGGTGGGTCAACACAGCCTGAAGGAAAATCTCTTAAGGATAAAAGGGTGGGCCTGGTGCTTTTCTTATCAAACTTCTGCAGTACTCTCCTCTACACCAATTGCCCCCCTCCTTTGCCTTGAGAGTGTCTCGGGCAATGGATGAAAACCCATCGTTATTTCCCACATCTTCACCTAAATCAACGCTGAGAATGGATTCTGTGACAGATAAGATGATGAGGCAGCAGCTTGATCAAGAAATGGATTGCCAAAGGGATTTGTTGGATCGTGCCCTATCATCATGGGTTGTTGCTGGTGTTGGTGTTGGGGCATGGCTTCCATCTGCATACCAGTTGGGGGTGCTATGTTGTTTGAAGCATAAAATGTGTCTTGGTGGTGGTTATAAGGAACAACCTCCAAAGGACTTTCCACCTGTAGCGTCATTTGGTGGTGGTAGTTTTCATCGTGGTTTGTGCTTGTTCTTGTTCTTATTCTTGTTCTTGTTCTTGCCAATGCATCATCGTATAAACTTTCTAGGATTAGTTTGTCCAGTCCACCACTCTGTCAACCAAATCACATGTCATAGTAACATTTTGAAAATCTGGAGACAGAGAGAGAGAGAGAGCACTTGAATTTAAGGATTCTAAATTAATATTATAAAAAACTAATGTGGAATGTAATTTTAGTAAAAGTAGAAGTAAAAATAATGAAAAAGTGAGATTGAAAATCAAGAAATAATAAATAGTGAATATTTTTGTTAGTTTGGTTTGATTATTAATAAATATGGTGATAATGTGATCCATAAAATTGTAGCAGGTTAGATACAATTGTTAAGGCTGCCGCTCATCACCACTAAAAGGCCATAACAAAGACCCTTTTATACACGGTTTATTACAAATTTGAACATCAATAATATATATTTATATATTTTCAATAATTTTTTTCATAATGTATGGTAATGCATGTAGAGCCACCCATGATCATGTTGCCCATGAGCCTTCCCTTAACTACCGTTCCCTTAATTCTATCTCTTTCTTCTGGTGTTAAATTCAGTGTGTTACACATGTGCCATTAATTTTGGCTTTATTTCAGATTACAAGGGGTGTGTTAATATTTTTAGACCATAGGGAGGGCAGGTAATATGTTTTCGGGATAAGCCACAAGGGTTAATGCGCAATTAAAGTTGCAAATAAGTTTTCCCGAACAGAACTCATTTGTGAATACTACATATGGACTTACCAGTTTACTATCTGCAACTGCAGCTCCATTAGAGCTTGGTGCTGTAACGAGTGCGAGCTCCCAACTGGTAGATTCACTTGCAAGATTTGAACTGACTGCGGAATTTGCTGGATATTCTGTAAAAATGTTACAAATAAATTTAAAATAATCTATATTATATGTATATATATATGATAATTCAAAACAAACTGAGATTTTTATAGGTAAGAAATGGAATTCACCAGAAGTAACAACTGCAAGAGCAAGGGCATTTTTATCACCCAATTCAAATGCTTCTACGATTGACTAATCCAGACCCTGGTAAAATTTAAAAATAAATAAATAAAAATGAAGTTTTCTAAGTGAATCACTAAAATGAAGCAAGGTCCTAATAAAGATAAAAAGTGTCCGCCCTTACCAAGAGATCAACCTGTGTTGAGGCAACAACCTCATCCCGGTTGTTCTTCAGGAGTTGAGGTGATGTAGCAAGTGCTGATGATGATGGATCTGATGATGTTTCCTCAACCTCAGTATCTTGCACGCTATCAGTCTCGAAATCAGGATTAGGAGCAGCTATTGCTTTAGGAGTATCAACTCCCTCGCCATTGCTCTGATGACATAAGATTATGGAAGAATAGCCATTCAATGAGTTGTATTGTCTTGCAAAATTGTCACAAATGCATCAACAATTCAGCATAGGTTACTTGAGTATTCATAGCAAAATACTCCACAATTTAAAAGCATACCTGTGACTAGAGATGGTAAACTCAACTCAACCCAACCCAAATCCATGAACCCCCAATATTACCCATTCAAAACCTGGCCAAATCCATAAACGGGTTTGACAGGATTACACCTTGCAAACTCATTTAAAATTGGGTTTAAATGGATTAGACATGAGTACCTATTTAAAGAGGTACCACCTTGCCACTGCACCATCACCACCTCCTCCTCCCCCAACTCACCACCACCACCACCACCACCGCACCAAAAAATCTGAATGATAATATTATCTGGATGAACCCACAACATATCCAAAACATGCAAACAAAGAAAATTATGTTCAAACAAACACTCAAAAAAATATTTCCTGTTTGTGTTAGCAAAGAAAGTCTAGGAAATTCGCCCAAAACTATAATTTGATTTCAATTTTTTTTTTTTTTTTTAATCAAGTTGGACTCACTTGTGTTAAATTCTTGATTAATTGTACACAACAATAACAACAAAGACAAACGTAACAATTTTGGCCCCTGCTATTTTCCTTCTTTTTCTCTGTACCCAAACAGTGAGTTGGAGTTTGTCTAACAAAATTAGAGGTGAATTGGAAATTTCAATATATATTCACACAAAAGAAAGAAGAACAAAAGAAAATACAAAACTTTTACTACTTTGCCCTCCCATCGTTCCCTTCATTTTTTCAGATATACAGTAACCTCAATTTAGGAGTGTAAGTACATGCATGGCTGTAACTGCAGATGTACATATATATATACACCAAAATGTCTATGTGCACAGAAGGAATCAGACAAAAAATACACAAATGTGAGACAAATGTTCGCAATTAAAGATGAGACATTTTTTTGTTTCACATCTATGTATTTTGTGTCCGGTTCCTTCTCAGCATGTAGCATGACTGATATATACACTCAAATGGAGAGTGAAATTTTTTTTTTTAAAAAAATCCTGACTCAGAACCACCTATGAACATCTTTACAGATCATATTTTTCAGCCACCACCACCACCAATTCCACTACCACCACCACCACCAATTCCACTATCCATTGGAAAAAGCGTTCCATAAAATAAACAGGTTGGTCAGTTGATTTGCCCAACCCATACCAAATTCAACACAACCCGCTTAAACCCATTTATTAAATGGACAGGTTTGGGCTTAAACCCTCGATTTTCCACCTCTACATATGAAAAGAAAATAAAGACTAACATTGAACTCAAAAAGAAATGCCCACAAAGAGATTTGTTTTACCACATCATGCGAGGCAGAGTGTCCAAGAGACTTAACATAAATTATTTTTACATATTTGTGTTAATTATCTCAAAAATTTCTAGTTCTTAGAGTGCCAAGGTAACAAATTTAAGATTAGATTATTATTATTTTTTTGGGAATGAGTTCTTCTTGTCCTTGGGAGAGGAGGGGGGGAAGGGGGATCGAGTGGAGGTGAAACTCTTGTTGTCAAGCATGTTGGCACTTGCCTGTATTTTGTAGTAAAAGTTGGAACAATTGATTGAACTGAATTTTGTTGCATCTATTATCATTAAACTCCCATGTCTTATTGTTTTAGATGTATCTCAACACTGCATACATCACAAACTTCCACTTTAGTCAACCTTGCCTAAAGTGAATGAATGCTTCTACCATATTATGTGATTGACATATACTAATAAAACAGTTATATGACCAACAATATTTTACAGGACAAAATGTAGGGCAATTAAGAAACATTTTTGTAAAATGAGTGTAACTGAGGTAAGGATATTTTAGGTGGATGTGTGGTAAGATTAAAAAAGGATAGAGTTAGAAATGCATACATTCATGAATAGTGGGAATAGCATCAATGGAAAATAAATTGAGAGAAAATATACTAAAAAGGTGTGTCATATATAACAAAGACCAGTAGAGGCAACGATGAGGAAGTACGCTCGGATCACAACTAATAGAAACACTAGTGGGAGGGGATGACCTAGATTGACATGGGATACTGTAGTAAAAAAGGCTATGAATTTATTTAATTTAACTAAGCATATGGCCCTTGATAGAACATAATGGAGAAAAACAATTTATGTAGCTGACTCCAAGTTATTGGGACACAAGGTTTGATTTGATAACTGGAAAATCTTAAGAAAAGAAAAATAAAACAGAATATAGGTCTGCACAAGATAAAATTATATGTCATGTTTAGTTTTAACAAGTACTGCCAATTGGGGTATTAGCAATCCTATGCAGACTAAACAAAATATTTTAAAGTTATGGCAAGATTATAATGATTCCCTGCAAAGCAGATGCATAAAGACATACCGGTCTCCATGTAAGCATTAAAATTTGTGGGGCGTCCTTCACATAATCTTCCATGGCTGTCATAAATGATGCAGGAGGCTGTAATTGGACATTATATAAAATACCATAATCACTGATTAGTTAAAACAAAGAACATAACAAATACCAGGCTGCAATAAACTTATAAAGATCTACAGGAACAAAGATGGACTTACCAAGTCAAATTAAGAGGTCCTTACCTGTTCTATTTTAATATATTTCTGCCCATGTCCAAAACCAAGGCCCCTACAGATCTCAAGGAGCTCAGATAAACTCTCTGCCTACAGTAGCATACAAATATATTCCACAACTGATAAAGATTGTACAGAAGAACTACAGGGTAGCTAGAACGTAAAGATCAGACAGTAAAAGTATAGAGTGTAAGCATTAAAGATGCTCGATGGAAGCATGTGCTCATGTGTGCACGTGTACGGGTGTGCAGAGAATCACACAATGTATACCTGATTCCCTGCCTTCTTATAAATTTCAAGTGCCCTAACAGCATCATGGCGCTGCATCTCAAAAAACTGAAACAGAATACAAGTCAATTCTACTTTCACAAGAGCACAAGAAACCATCTGATTGCACCACTAGCTGATCAAAGGCCTACCTTGTCAACCAAATTGAGAGTTCCATCAGTAATAGCTACATAGAGCTTTATACTTTCAGCTGCAACCTAAAGCAAGAAGAAGCTAAAAGGAGGCAAAGACAAACAAAACCAAGTAAATTGTGTGGATGGGATAGAGCTTTCAGTAATTCCTTACGATTGTAAGCGCATATTGAATCAACAAATTATTTTGAGCTGCTCCCTCGGGCTGCACAAATGCACATGGTCAACATCTCCTAAAAAATAATAGAAATTATATGATTAAAGAACTAAAATGATAACCACTGTATATGTACTGGAAAAGGACAAAACCATGAAGACTAGCATAATGGATCACTACATCACCTGGCAAGCAAGAAGGCGAAAAAGAAGCTGTTGCAAAGCAGGTAATTGCTCAAGCAAGTCTACAGTGTCTAGATCCTTGGTTCTCTGCCACAAACAAATTGTAATGGAAAAATAAAAATGAAAATTTATGCCCATTATCCTCATTAGTCATTTCCATACAGAACAAGAATTGATGAGACAATAAATACAACAAATAAGACACCAACATGATATCACAATGTGCAGGACTTCCATAATAAGTTGTGTGAAACTTGCAACCTCAGAATCTGTTTACTGCTAGACTCCTAGTAACACTATTTCTTCCTTTTTCGAGCATTAAAGCATCAACCTATAATCCAATTACAAAAGGTCAAGATATGGAGCACTATGCCCTCCTTTACAACATAAATAATTCTACTGAAATCAAAAGCTAAGAAGTGTAGGTTAATGAATTCCATATTTTATTTTATATCAAGAGACAGAAAAAATTTTTTTTTTTTTTTTTTTTTTTTTTTTTGATAAATAAGCCAACTTTATAAATAGGGCATCAAGACGATGCAAAGAATACAAAAACTAGCCTAACGACTAGTAGCAGCCAAAACCCAAACTGCACAAAACATCAAGGCAAAAGCAAACAAAAGAACTATGAAGTCAAGTCCTCTACAAAATCAACAAAAGACAAAACATCCGGGTCCACAGTCAGCGTTAACCAACTACGCAACACAAGGAGCAAACGCCACTCCAACCAAGCCGCCGAATGCATCTCCCCCAAAAATACCCGCCGATTACGCTCCAACCACACTAGCCACATAAGACAATGGCCAGCCAAGTTCCAAGCTTTCCGCCTTCTCTTCCCAACCCTCCCCCCAGCCCAGCTTTGTAACATTGCCCTTACGGTCCCCGGTTGAACCCAAGCCAAACCGAAGATAGCTACTATAGACAACCAAAGGCGTGAAGCAACCAGACAGCAAATAAGCAAACGGTCCACTGTCTCCGCAACTCCACAACACATGCAACACCAATTAACCAAAATATGCCCATGACGACCCAAATTATCAATCGTCAAAATACGGCCTAACACAGCTGTCCACACAAAGAAAGTGACTTTGGATGGACAACCCGCCACCCAAACACTCTTCCAAGGGAAGGGCACCCCATCCCCCTCTCCCCCCAGTAAGCCTATGGTAAAAATAAGATACAGAAAACAACCCTTTGGACTTCGGGCAGTCCCACCTCATAAAATCCTCTCCAACCCCTCGAAACTGAAGCCCATACAAAAAGCCCAACAGATCCAGCAATTGTCCCACCTCCCAATCCCGCACTTCACGACGTAGAACTACATTCCACAGAAGTGTAACCATAGTAATAATAACAGTAACAATTATAACTAACTCATTGTCGATAGCTTTGACTGGAAATGGAGATTTTAGTGTTTCAATTCATTCGAGTCCACTGTCAACGAAATGATGAGTATGAAGGATATGTATAACTAGTGAACACCCTTGTATTCTCTCTCTCTCTCTCTCTCTCTCTCTCTCTCTCCATGTGTGTGTGTGTGCAATTTTCTAATTCAGCCGATAACTAACTATTGTTATTATCTATGAAGCATAGACACGGCAAAATCAGTGCCGTGGCGGTGTCGGATACGGGGACACGGGGATACGCCGGGGACACGTACGGGACACGCCATCTACCGTGTCCCTTTAATTTAATTGTTTTTCTTGTAGGGGACACGCGTGTCCAGATCTGGACACGGCGTGAGACACGGCAAGGAGGGAGAGACAAAGGAGAGAGTATGAAGGAAGAGAGTGAAGAGAGACAAACCTGTTGAAGGTCGAAGATCGAAGATCAAAGCTCCATCAGTGGAAGATCGAAGCTCCATCAGTCGAAGATCGAAGCTCCATGAATCCAGTCGTAGATCGAAGCTCCAATCGAACAATCGAACACCCCAGACGAGTCGCGATCTGTCTCTCTCACTCTCGCCTTCTCAATCTGTCTCTCTCTCCCTCGCGATCGCGATCGCGACCTCGACCTGTCTCCCTCTCTCTCTCTCTCTCTCTCTCTCTCTCTCTCTCTCCCTTGCTTCTGTCTTTTTATCTGAGGGTTTAGTTATTATATAAAAACTATTATTATCATATATTATATAATAGTTATATATTATATAATAGTTATTATATAACATATTATTATTATATATTATATACTAGTTATTATATAACATATAATATATTTATAAAATAATATATAATACATATTATAAGATAATATATACTCATACATATTAATAAATAAATAAAATAAACACATGTATGTAAAATAAAATAAAATAATTAATTGAAACACGTTATTTAAAAAATATAATAAATAAGTAAAATAATTAATGTGTATTAAAATGAAAATATTTATAAAAAAATTAAAAAATTTGTCGTGTCCCCTGCAGTGTCCGTATCCCTATTTTTTAGAAATTGCCGTGTCCCGTGTCCGTATGCGTGTCCGTGTCCGTGTCCGTGTCCGTGCTTCATAGGTTATTATTATTCTCCAAGGCCATTGCAAAATGCAAAGCAAATGCCTATCTAAGTCATATTCTAGTTTGTTCGGGGTAATATCATTTCAGATTCAGGTTCCAGCCATGAGTATGTAGAACAAAAAGGCACTTAAAAAAGAACTAGCTTCAATTGGTAATCCATAATGCATACCGAGTGATCTGTCTGGACATCATACTTCAGTATGTGGAGGAATTCCTGGCGTTCTTCAAGATATAAAGCATAGTTACGAACCCAAGCAGAATAATCCCATGCTTAACATCAGAAATCTCCATGGTCAGTTCCTCATATTGCAACTTCCAGTGATTAAAATAAAACACAGATTAAGGAGTACCATTTGTGCTTGAATCATCCCTGAAATGTGATACGTTCAAAATAAGTCCTCTGCTCCGGCTATAGTTAATGAGTTCTTCACGAAATGTAGGATCTACCTCCCTCATTGCACGATGTACAACGATTAGAGTCTTCAATGCAACCTGAGTAAACAACAAAAATAAGATAGACTGTGAATACAACTGATCGCTTAAATGGTCTGTTCGGTAGTAATGAATAAAGGAAAAAGGAAACGAGGGGAAGGAAAAGGTGAGGGATCGATTGAATCCGTTGGAAGGAAGGAAATGAAGAGAGGAGGAAGATTATCCCTCCATGACTACTAATTTACTTCTACCAAAAAATGGCAAATATACGGGAAGGTATCGAGTTCCCTTTCTTTTGGAAATATATAAATTCTTCTATTTCCTTCTCAACTAAACAAAAGGAGGAAAAGCTGTCTGCCTATCCCTAAGAATTCCTTATGCATCTCCTATATTTCGTACTTCCAAGTTTTCCTTTCCTTGTACCAAATGGAGAATAAAATAAATAGAACCATATAAAAGGAATGCGTGTTTTCTTCGTCAGATTCCCTTTAGAACTAAATGAACCTACAATAGCTACAATTACAAGAGAAATATTTCATAAAGAGAACATATAAGAATTTTTAGAAAAACAAGGTAACTTATTTTCCTTGCCCTTGAAAGACCTCAAAATCTTGTTAACAACTAACTATGAACCAAACCTCAGGCGCAGATTCACAGGTAAGGGAGCAGATCTAGCTGTAATCTATAGTTAGAATTGCCATGTAATTCCTGAGTCATTCAAATTCAGAAGTACACCTCTAGCTGAAGGAACCCAATGTTGGATGAAGTTCTAAAAGTGAGAGCATAAAGCAGAAAGGACATTGATAGCCCTAGTGTGGAGAAGTTCAGTATACAGATCAGATGAAATGACATAAATAATTTAATATTAGACCCTGTTTATATGTATTGACCAATAAAACGAAACATATCACCCAAATATGTGTTGGAAGACAAACTAGTTGTCTTAAGCATTTAGAAATAATAATGTATCAAAACACATATTAGCCAATGTCAAGCATGCACATAGTTTAATTAAAGTTCCGTACACCCAATTTAAGGAAACAACATGCATCTATCTTAGAAAATAGGCTATCAAACTCATGACTTAAAACTTACTAATGAAAGAAGAATATTTTTAAGAAAAAATAAGGGAAGTACCAAAAGTTTAGAATTTATCACGGATCAAAATGCAACAATGGAACAGGCAAAACAAGCAGTTTGCAACATATTGTGCTATGGATAAGGTTAATATGTGTTCAAATGAATTACTCAATGACCTCTTAGATGGTGGGATTTGATTAATAAACCCGTGGGTCCCACCAAACCCATGTTTAATTGTGCTACATGCTAAGCGACTATGAGTCCCATGGGAATACCAATCCTACTTGGGTGTAGGATTAGCATTCCCATGGAGGGGGTGGGATTGCTAATCCAATCCCCTTGGATTGAAGCACAATGTCTATTTTGCCCTCTATTTATCAAAAACAATAAAATCTCTTTTTTATGCATTAAGGGCTTTTACGTAATTTCATAGATTTAATCCCAACCAACTAAAATACCACCACACTACTCCTCAAACAAACACACTTGATCTTATATCTCTAACTTAATACTACCACATTATTAATTTTCTCACTCAATCCCACTGCATTTATAATCTCATCCAACCTAATCCACCAAACAAACGTGGCTAAAAACTTTTTTTTTTTATATATTTGGTTTTCTTCAAAGTACAACTGACAATGCAAATACCCTCTTCATTATTGCACTATCCTTTCGATAATTATTGAGTTCACTAATTTACATGCTACAATAAGAGGAAGAAATGAAGCAATTTCAACTCTAGCAACAGAACCAATTTTGATATTAGCCAGCACTTTAAGACATTATTCCAAGATCTATGTGGAATCTGCAGATTCTTGGTCCAATATAAACACAGGAGCAATCAGATGGCAGTTTTAGTTGGAAGCTGTGGCATCCTTCCAAGGGAAACTCCAGGTCAAGCTACGATTTGATACACTAAAATGGAATGGAGGTGACTTTGGGCCATGCTTGAAAACTTAATAGGTGGGAATGGAAAGAACCTCAGTTGGGAAAAGGTTCAGAAAAAACTGAACTATGTATGTGAAGGTTGTGGTGAGGCAAGTTTCGAACCATGGATTGTACTAGGTCCATGTGAGGACAAAATAGCGGCCAGAAGGGATATTTTCATTGAAAAGCATGGTGAAATAGTAGAAGAAGACAACCTAAGAAAGACTGACACGGACACAGACTTAGACACGGACACAGACTTAGACACGAACACAGAACATGACATGGATACGCTGACATGAATTCTTTTTTTAAAATGTAGGACACTATAATATAATCAGTTAATTACAGTTGGTAATAAACATTTGTTAAAAATTAAATAAATACATATAAAAACACAAAAAAGAGAAAGTGCAAATAAATTAACACAGCAAGGTGCTCAAGAGCATACTGCCCAATTGTGTGTTTTAGCAAGACGTTTGGCAAGAGCATGTACGCAGTAAGCAACATCAGCCCGAGGTCTAGAAGCTGAAACCGCATCAATGATAGCTGTAAACAAAACAACATAATCATATTTATATGTTAGGTGTAAAAAACGAGGTTCAAGAACTTGAGGATTTACAAATCTATTGCTTCCAATTGGTTGGACTGTACGTAAATAACTCAACACTGAAAAGTTCAGATGAGACACAAATTCATCATAGATGTGAGTCATACGTTCCATATCAAACTATTAAGTGGATAAAATGTCTCAAATTGCAAAATATTTAGTGTATTTCCATTGTTTACAAAGATATATTAGTATTAATCATTAATTGAAACTTTTATAGTTGAATTAAACAATTAAAATACCTTTGACTATTTTCAAGTGGATTTGAAAAAATGGGTGTAGAAAAGCTAAGTCAAGCTGTGAAGGGATCAAAATATAATTGGGGCCAAAATAAATTTCAACCTTCACTCATTTATTTCACGACCAATCCCAAGCAAGTTTCTGCTCAAGCTTGTCCTAATCCAAGCTTGAGTAGCTTGATTTTTACAAGGTCTTATGAAGCTCAACTTATCAAGTCAAATAAAAAAAATTAATGAATTTAAAAAGGTTCAACTCACTCCTTATATGTTTTTCTTTTGGCAGTACTTCAACATGACTTGTGGCTTTGACGATGGCAACATCTACCTCCTGGAAGAAGTGGCTGGCATCACTTGCAAGTACTATTAAACATCAAGGAACATAATCGTCTATATTTATAGCTACAAAATCACCTTGTAGTCGCTGTTTAATTGGGCCAATCCAACCTTCGTTGAGTCTTTTAGAGCTCCAAGAGCTTTCCTAAAGCTTTGCTGAGTGCCACCACTTGCTGCCATTTTATTTAACAAAACAGTTTCCTCTAAACCCTGCAGTTCAATTTGATAGCCTGAAATACAACAACCAATAGATACCTAATCAGTGAATCACACTTCATTACGGAACATTTCATAATATGCTACGACATGATGAAGATTTCTCCCATTCATCAGTTGGCATGTCACTAAAGAATAATTCTCATAGTTTGCAATTGGCATTCAACTTCAATACCATCATTCAGGTGGACTATGGGTTGTTTTGGTTATCAAAACTTCGTTGATTCAGGTGGACTATGGGTTGTTTTGGTTATCAAAACTTCGTTGATTCATCCTATGAAAATATTTACTCTCTCTCTCTCTCTCTCTCTCTCTCTCTCTCTCTCAAGCATTAGATGTTCTAATGAAAGGAAAAGGTGAGTAGAGGCTTGCTCTTGTAGTTTTAGAAAAAGAGGAACAAAGAAGAGCCATACCTAAAGACAATTTTGGGCCACAAAGAAAGAATTCGAGAATTCTTTGGCAATTTAATTAAGAAATTGAGAGTTGAATGGTGTATAGCGGCTTTTCAAGAGAGAGAGAGATGAAGGTTTGAGAGAACTTTTTGCTCGTATGGAATTTTAGAATCTAATTGTCATGTTGAAGTCTTCTAACCAAAAGGACAAATAGAGCTTTTTGCCTTAAGGCCAATATTACAATCAAGCAACTATATTTGCATACCTAACTCTTTGGCATATACTCTATGTACATCCTTGGTCAAAGCATGGTTCTGTCTCTATTGCCAAGGTCAACATACCAAGTTCATGTCAAAGACTAAAAACTTAAAGCTAGAGCGTGTAGATTATAACATTTAGAACATCATGCTATGTTAATAGACTATATGTATTCACAAAGAATGAATGTATTATATTTTATAAATCCAACAAAAAATGAGATAGAAGAATTAGTGACTAAGAGTTGCCCAGGAGAAATCATTTTCATCTTCTAGGCCCTCTAGTGCTGCCGGAGTTCAATGATTTATTTCTTTTTATACATTGCATTTTTTACATTAATAGACTATATGTATTCACAAAGAATGAATGTATTATATTTTATAAATCCAACAAAAAATGAGATAGAAGAATTAGTGACTAAGAGTTGCCCAGGAGAAATCATTTTCATCTTCTAGGCCCTCTAGTGCTGCCGGAGTTCAATGATTCCGAAAATAATGCTAAACAGTACCTTGATCAATGTGATTTGCAATGTATGTACTTACGGTGCACACCAATGATTTTGAATCTTTATGCAATGCTACTTAATTCTATCTCCCCATTTTCTTGTATCTGTAAATTTATTCATTGCAATGAAAGCCTAGCACAAGTAAAACAACTTACAAGATTAGGCTGGACCAATTAACAAAAATTGTTACCTTTTAAAAGAAAGAAAAACAAAATAGTACACTCAAGTTGGCTACAATATGATTTGTGTAACCTAAGATTTGTGAATACATGTCAATGAAAGGCAAGAACTAAATTGCAACCTACTTAGATTTCTTTGCATTCCACACTATTGCCCAATCCCTTTAAAACCTCATCGTCAATTTCAAGGCTATCTCAACTACAGCTGAATAATTAGCTAATAACAAAATATTTCCTTGATGGCTAAAATAGCTAATTTCTTTCCCTTCGTCGCCACGTCAATTTTCTATAAGATATCTTGCAACTTATGGCTATTCGCCTAAACTCTTCCTGAAGTGAAGACGTGATCAATACAGACCATTTGACAATATTGACTGAAAAGGTTCCAATCAGATTTTTTTTTTTTTAAATAAAAAAATTAAATCAAGTGACGCAAATCTTTATCTATTAATTAACAAGTTCACATTTAAAAATGATTTTGAAAAAGTAAAAATGAAAGGGTTCTAGAGTGGATACATTGACCTACTCATCTTATAACAAGCTAGCTACACAAATTATAATTATCAGAAATATATAAATTAGGGAGAAGAAAAATAAATAAATAAAAGAAAGAAAAATTATTATTCTGAAAACATGAATGATGGAACCGATGTTTCCCTGAAGAAGAAGAAATTCAATAGGCATTGATTTAACAAACTTAGCAACACACACACATAGAGAGGGATTGTTTGTGTTGGTTTGGAGGGTTGATACCCAACATTTTCTCTAATACAATCATCTCCAATACAAACGAAATGTTGGAAAACTAAATCAATAAAAATGGAAACCAACATGAAATTAAAAATGCAAATTTTCATATATTACTGAGACAATGCAGGATCAATCATATTGATTCATTCATTCATCACATAAACAACACATTCACACATATACGCACACATGATTTGTACATATATATATACATATAGAGAGAGAGAGAGAGTATAAGATTGAATGAAAAGGAAAAAGTTACCTTAGAAATTCGCCGGCAGCAAAACGCTGGGTAGAACGGCAGCAAACATACGCAAAAAAAGAATGACCATAATAATTTCCGGAAGAGAGAGAATGTTATGCATGTTAATGTAGGCTGTAGGTGTAGGTATGTATTTCCCATTTCCTATTGCTATTTTTGTTTGTGGGATATGTGTTAATCCCGCTTGCAACCTATCAATTTATTTGATTAATTATATTTAATGTAAATAACATAGGATGTAATATTTCATGATTTCGAAATAGAAATGAAAAAATCCCTAATATTTTCCTACAGGTTCAATTTCATTATTTCTATACATAATATTTGATTATACATGCCATTTTTTTCATAATTAGTTTTTTATCATAATTTTTTTTCTCTTTGGGACTAATTATAGAAAAGTAGAAAGTAGAGGAATAATACAAAATATAAGAAATAAAAAATAATTATAAAGAGATGAAATCTACATATAAAATGACAAATATCTCTTTTTCAACCCCTCTCTTCACTCATCTCTCTTTATTTTCCTCCTACCTCTACTTAGAGTTGAGTATAAGATCATCCAAACTGTCCAACCCGAGCCGATCCGCATATAAATGGGCGGTTTCGTAAACATAAAGCAAATGGATACAGTTTTAAATATGACATGATTGCGAGTTGCGGGTTTATCCCGCACTCGCAAGAACCCGCCTGCACTTAGATTTTTTTATTTTTTTTAAAAAAAAAAGTCTAAAACCTAGACCATCGTTATTTCATTATTGCATTTTGGATGAATATAAAAGTTAATGAAGAATTATTTTTAAGTAAACTTAGGATTTTGAATTATTTTACTTTAATTGTATTGTTATGTAGTACATAATGAATGAGATTGATGATCTAATTTAAGATTTTGAAAGATGTACTCCTGTTAGTTTATGATTTGATTTAAAAGTTTAGAATTTTGAATGATTTGTTTGTATTAGGAATTGATTTTATTATGTTTTTAATTTTATAAGTTTTAATTCATTAATTATTAATGTTGGAGATTTTAGAAAATGGGAGAAAAAGAACCCAAAATAAATATTTACAAATTGAAAATAAAAATACAAAAAAAGAAGCTCCAAAATAAATTTTTAAAGAAAAAAATCCAATCCGCAAATCACCTACACATTCGCGAACTCTATCCGCACCAACTGCAACCTGCAGTGCAAGCGATTGCAAGTTGAATTTTTCCAAAACCGCATATATGCGGACAGATCCAAATCAATCCGCAAACCGTCTAAAACCGAACCGCGACCACCCTTACCTCTGCCATTCCTTGCCTCTTTAGACCCTTATTCTCTCTCGCTCTCACCAACCATTCCGGAATAGTAGGGAGAAGTGGATATGAAATTTCATTCACTGTCTTTGGTTAAAAAAAAGATACTCTGATATCATCACTGCATCCATAATACTTGACTCTAAAATAGCTAGTTGCCGACCAAATTTAACCCGATTTATAAGAGGAATCCACCACTAAGACACCAATAAAATTCAACCACATGTCACAGAAAAAACTCAAGATCGATCGGATTACAGTACAAAATCTCAAAGAAAGCCAACTGAAAATTAATTATTTTTTGCACCCTCAATATTCCAACCTAGATCACCTGCCTTCTCTACTGACCACCACCCCCGTGGTAACCCAAAAATAGGCTAGAAGTATATCACATTTAAGAGAGAACATGCAACGCGCAAAGCCTGACGTCAGCACCTAAAAGGAAATTGTGTTCCATTGGATGAACGTTTGGCTTACTCCAAAAACCAAAGAAGAGTCCTCAAATAAAAGCCTTTAGTTTAAAATCTTGCAGGGATACAAAATTTACATTTTATTCAACTAAAAAATTACCAGTTCCCAACTCTTATCTGTGGTGGGTGCTGACCCTTATGACAACCCTATTTGGTATTCTTTCTTGGGGGAGAGTACAAATGTACTTCCACTTGTTCCAAAAAAAAAAAAACTAAATCAATATTTGGTTTGCACGAAAACCCACCACCAAGGGAGCCGGCCCTATGTGAGATGCAATCTTATAGACAACAATGGTCCAATGGCTTTGGAGAAATATTTGAGTTTTGTCTGTCTATGTCATCCATCACGCTTGTAAGGCCTTGTTCTTGTTCTCTTTGCCATCTTCCCATGAGAGCTGCTTCTCTGCTAACATGGCAGCATGCTGTTCTAAGTACTCTCTGCTATTCATCTCTGTTAACCTGCAAATAGATAATAGTTGCCATCATCGGTGATAATGATTAGATAGAAAGCAAGTAACCTACAATTGACACATGCTTAGCAACCTAATAATATTTTCCTTGCGTAACTAAAGAGGTGAGAAATTGAGTGAAATAAGAAGAAATGGAGAGAAACACTTTAATCTTAAAACCCACTTCCTGAATTTCTCCAAAAGTGAATAGATATGAACAGAAAAGAAACTAGTACTGCCGAAACTACCTGTCTAAATACAAATGAAATAAAAGGAATAAAATTATGAGAGGTTATTTTGGTAAAAGTTATATAGAGATGTATATTTTTCCTTTCATCTTATGCAGTGTAACCAAGCAAGATAGGATAGAAACCATTATATTTTCCCTTGCGTTATCCAAACAAGGGAAGAAAACATAATATTTCCTCTTCTGTCTTCTCTCCTTGATTCGCAAACAAACTGTAAAGCTAGTTTTCAATAACTTTCTAATGTCCAGTTACTGAGTAGGGGGTCCAACTCCTGGCTTCAACACTAGCCCAACCAGCAAAATTTTAGAACTTATGACAACAAAATTTAGAATTTGATTGGGGCCTAGGCTAAAATTTTCCAACCCACAATAAATTTAATCAAGGTCTGGGCATGGACTCTTAGAACCCGAGCAATAGAAAGACTATTGCTAGTATATATAATAATATAATTAAGTATAATAAACATAAAATATACATATAAATATGGTATTTTCTCACCGTTGGACTAAATCATACTGCAATATAATCAATTATACAGCAAGGTATACTGTATACATAACTCAAACCAATTTTCTTATTATGTTACATGTTTATAATTTTTTGAGATATTTTCCTTTATTTATTTTCAAAAATACAATACATTGGTTTAGGGCAATCAATCTCAATCCAATATAAATTTTTTTATTGAATTAACACAACCGAGACTAACCCAACTCTATGGAATAAACTCGAACTAAGGCTTGGGCAAGCTACTTCAGACCAGAGGTCAGGCTTGTGCCTTGCCTTGCTTGGACAAAATATCTCTACACTTAGGGGGCTGAGCTTGGAGAGACTCTCAGCTCGACCAAACCCACCCTATTACCATGTAAGAAGTAGAACTACAGCAGCTCCTGGCTTAGGTTTCTAGAGTTTAAAAAAGTTAGGTCTCAAAATACTTTTACAATTTTGAGCAGATATTTTGTTGCAAAAACATTTAAAAACAACAGTCATATTGTTGATAACTTTGTTGGGTA